TGGAGTGGGAGGAGGACGGGGACCCCCCCGGGGGAGAGGCCGACGGGGAAGCGCCTCGGCCCGTGGGGCGGCTGCACCTGCTCAGCAGCAAATATGGGCCGGAGCAAGGTCAGTGGTGCTGGGCTGGGGCCGGCCCCACCCGCCCGAGCCATCCGCCTCTGGAGATTTCACCCGCTCTCCTGTGGGATGGTGGGAAGACACCGGTGGTCTGATGGCCCTCGATGGTGGTGTCCCTCCCTGGGTTCTCTCCCCGGCTCTGGGAGGCTAGTGGTTAGGGGCGGCTGGAGCCAGGACTCCTGGGTTCTCTCCCCGGCTCCGGGAGGGGAGTGGGCTCTACTGGCTCAGCCTGGGCATCAGGACTCCTGGGTTCTCTCCCCCCCAGATTTCTGGATCTACCCCGGGGAGAACGTGGTGGGGCGGCTGCCGAGCTGCCGGGTCTGCCTGCCGGCCCCCTCGGTCTCCAAGGCCCACGCAGTGATCGAGGTCCCGGCGCCGGGCGGGCCCCACCTGCTCTACGACCGGGGCAGCCTGAACCGGACCCGGCGCCAGCGCGGCGTCCTGCTGCCCCACGTCCGCTACAGCCTGGAGGATGGAGACACCCTCATGTTCGGGGACGTGGGCTGCCAGTACTTCCTGCTGCCACCGGGGGGCGCCGACCCCGAGGAGACTCTGGAGGTGCCACCCACCCAGCCCCGGGCTCCCAACACCCTGGCCATTGAGGAGACCCCCGTGCCCAGCAAGAGGATGGGCTACGGGCCCCTGCTGGCCAGGGACTCTGAGGATGAGGAGGAGCTGCAGGGCAGAGGAAGGCTCCTGCACCTGCCAGGGAGCAATGGTGAGTGGGGATTGTGGGGATGGGCCTGTAATGTTATTGTAGACCCTACAATAACAAACCAGCAACCCCACGCACATACTGTTGCTGGTTTGTTTTTTTGTTTGGGCTCCAGCTTCCACCTAAATTACATCCAGCTATTGCATTATTAGGGCAACCCCATGATGTTATGGTAGGCCCTACAGTAACAAACCAGGCATGGCACAAGTGGGGCTGGGGTGAGGCAGGGCTGCCAGTGATTCTATGTCTGGGCTACTGTCCTCAAGTTCACACAGATCCCTGGTATGAAGGGACCCTATAGTATTGTGGTAGACCCTACAATAACAAACCAGCCATAGCATGAGTGTGGGGGACTGGACATGATTCTGTGTCTGGGCTCCTCCCTCTTCCACAGTCTTGGCACTAGGGCAACCCTATAATATTATGGTAGGCCCTACAATACCAAACTAGCCACGGTCTGCACGCAGGGGGTCTGGGAGTGAGTCTATATTTGGGTTCCCACTTCCCCACAGATTAGGCACAGCCCTGGCAACACCTCCCTATGATATTATGGTAGGCCCTATAATAACAAACCAGGCATGGCATGAGTGTGGGATTCAAAAGTTGAGGGGTTGGGGCTGAGTCTGTATGGACTCCCTCTTCCCGCAAGGTTACACACAATCGTGGCACTAGGGTATCCTACGATATTATTATAGACCCTACAATAACAGTAGCCACGTGGGGGCATGAGTTGGGTAGTGGGAGATTCTGTTGAGGCACTCTTCCCCTCCCCTGCCTCCACTCCCCCGGCTATATATACCCTACAATAACAAACCAGTGTTAGTGGGCGAGCGTTCCTGGGTTCTGTTCCTATGGAGTCAGGGCTAGTCACTGGAGCAGGGGAAGGGGTTGGGAGTCAGGACTCCTGGTTTTGTTTGCCTTGTCTATCCCTCTGTACAACAGTAGACCCTACGATAACAAATTGGGGTTGGGAGGGATGAGGGTCGGGAATTCCATGCTTGGGCTACCCCTCTGGTTACTGACAGCGCCAGGCACCCTACAATATTATGGTAGACCCTACGATAACAAACCAGGAGGCAGACTATGCCCCCATTCTGCGGGTGGGGGAGACACAGGCCCCCAGATTCCACGTTAACACCCTGTGTCTGTCTTGTCCACCAGGCTCTGACTCCTCTTCTGACACTGGCGTCCGTTCCGACGCAGCCGTCTCCTCCCCGGGCGCAACCGTGGTGCCGGAAAGGTAGAGACGGGCCTAGCAGGGGGAGCCACGACTCCGGCTCTGGGAGGGGAGCGGGGTCTAGTGGTTAGAGCGAGGGGGGATGTGCTGCAGGGAGCGGGGCAGGAGGCGCTCTCCTCCGGCAGTCAGTGCTGATCCCAGTGCAGCGCTGTGCTGCAGGGGCTGGGTAGCGGGAGTAGTGCCCTGGGGCGGGCTCAGTAGGGGGCGCTGTGCTGTGGGGCAGGGGGGTCAGTAGGGTGTGCTGTGAGGCGGGAGGCTCAGAGGGGGTTGCTGGGTGGAGGACTCAGTAGAGGGTGCTGTACTGGGGCGCAGGGTGCTCGGTAGGGACCGCAGGGGGCTTGGTAGGGGGTGCTGCACGTTGGAGGTTCAGTGGGGGGACACTTTTGCGGGGCGGGGGCTCGGTAGGGAGCGCAGGGAGGGCTCGGTGGGGGGGTGCTGTGCTCAGGGGCGGGGGGGG